GGGCGACCTGGGGGCAGGGCCACCCGGGGGTGGGACCAGGGCCGGCTCTAGGTGTTTTGCTGCCCCAAGCAAAACATTTTTTTGGCCGCCCCCCCAGGACAGGCACTGAGGAGGAAAGCGCCCCTTTCTCTTTGACTCCCACCACACTCTCCGGCCAAACCCAGCCTACGTCCTGTCTCCCCTCCATACACATCCCTGTCCACACACATCCCGACTCCCCGCCCCCCATGCACGCACGGAACCCAATTTCCACCTTCTCTCCCCTCCCAGGCAAACCCAACCTCTCAGTGACTGGACCCAGTCCACCCCTCTTCTCTCCCCCACCTGATCCACCCTGTACCCTCTTCCCTCCCAGCCAGACCAGATCCCGACCAGACCCAGTTTGCTCCCCTCTCCCACCTCCCCCCAATGATCGAATTCCGTCTCCTTTCCCTCTCCCCACCAAATCCTTGTGTCCCCTCCCCACAGCATGCGCGGAAATGTCGGAGCACTTTGGGGGAGAGGTGAAAAGTGTCACGGGTCCCCCTACTTCCCTTTCTCTGCAGTTGTACACACCTTTCCCCGATGTGAAGCGGGGCGCCACAGGCGCCCCTCCCCTGCAAGAGGAGAGAGAGGAGCCGCCAGGCCAGGGCTCGCCTGCAGCCCCTGCAAGGGATTCTGTGGCCAGCAGCTCCCAGGGGGGCTGCGGAAGTGCGGAGGGGCCGGCGTGGTAGTGCAGCTGGCTGGCAGCCCTGTACAAACACCTGGGAGCAGGAGCGAGGCAGAGCACTGGGTTGGGTGCTGCCTGCGCCAGGGTCCAAGCTCCTCGTGGAGCAGGCGGAGGGTCTCCTGAGCTCTCCTGGCGCTGATTATACAAGAGGCCGGAGGGAAGGGGATAGATGGGGGGAGGGGCTGAAATCAACAACAACGATCAGCGCAGCAGCAGTGCGAGCGGGGACGGTGGCAGATGACTCAGACCATGGGGCACAGCTGCCCCCCCCCCGCCTGCCGCAGGGTCCAAGCTCCTCGTGGAGCAGGCGGAGGGTCTCCTGAGCTCTCCTGGCGCTGATTATACAAGAGGCCGGAGGGAAGGGGATAGATGGGGGGAGGGGCTGAAATCAACAACAACGATCAGCGCAGCAGCAGTGCGAGCGGGGACGGTGGCAGATGACTCAGACCATGGGGCACAGCTGCCCCCCCCCCGCCTGCCGCTGAGCTCG